GGGCGCATTCAGGGTAGGCGACGACCCTAAGACCTTTATAATCATACGCCGCCACCGTCGTTAGGTTTTGGGTTTTGCTTAGATTATTCTATCAATAACAGTTTTGCCATTCATTGGTTTGTGAGACCCCAACTTCGAGAGATAATCATTCATCTGTAATTTGGTTGCGTTCTTTCTTGTTCTTGCTTGTGTTCTTTGTTGCGCAGGCAGGGATTAGCCTTCTTGGCGAGGTCAACCTGGTCCGTGACTTGATTGATAACCAGAGGAGCTGTGGTGCTAAGATTGCAGGGTTCGATCTTTCGATCTGAAGCCGGATTGGTGTATCATTCTCCACCACAACGATAGTTACCATCACCTGACGGAAGATCGAGATCCCCGTCTCCATTAAGAGGTAATCAGAGCTAAGATATACCATCAGGTTCACTTTTATTCCCTAGTTTGAGTGTTTCACATTCGTCCCATAGTCCAGTGCCATACTTATTTTTCCTGTCCTAGAACCTTCCGCGCCATAGCCTTTTCATATTTCAGTTTCAGAGTCTGTCGTGTTGAGTTTGTGTCCTGGTTGAGGTCTTGTTGCTGGTTAGGTCGTGTTAGAGTCCAGTTCGTGTGTTTTCCCCCATCGTTTCCATCAAATCTTGGCTGCTGTGACCAATTTTGCACACATTGTCTCCGTTTTGTCCTCTAATTCGGAGCCAATTCTTAAAACTGGTCTAGTTTTCGCATACGAACTCCGTTTTCGACGTTCCATATATACAAATCGATCAAAAAAATTTCGGATCCGTCCATCCCCGATCATGTCGAGGTCAGAGATTTTTAAATTGGTCAAAAAGTGGTCACAAAATCCTCTTTTCGTGGTCATAAGGTTTTTGTCGATTTTGATCCAGTTTTCTGAAAATTCCACATACCACGTCTTTCACTTGTTTGAGCTCATATTTTCTGTGGTTACTTATTTTGTGCTCCTAAGTAAAGGAAAAATATCAAAAAATAAATTAAAAAAGTTAAAATTTCCCCAAAAAACAACGTCAGCCCAAAAAATAGAAAAAAAGAGAGGGGCAAAAGAGGAACAATATTTAGAGGAGCACATAGAGAAGGCCAAAGTGAGCTGTGTTAGCGTGTGTTGTCTGGTTCCTTGTTTGTGTTGCTGTCTCCATCTACCATACTTGTTTTTCTCACACCTATAACCTTGCTATCCACCATACTTTTGTCACACACCTGGTACTTGCAACACTTTAGACCAGCAACGAGAACAAGTATTTTGGACTATAATTCAGCATTACTTTCTGTTACTGACTTGTGTGCCAGATATACATATTACTCTTTGTTTGCCTTTCAAGCTCCACAAATTCTTTAGATCAGTACAGACAAAGGGTTTTGCAATCTCGATACCACTACCTCACAGGTATCACGAACCAGCCGCCGGTTGTATCGTCCACTGCTTGCGTTGGTAAGAACTTTGTAAGAGCTTGGTAAGACGCTTCCACTTGCTGTGAAAAGTGACACCACTGCAACCACGTAGTCATTTGGTAGGGATAACTTTCACCGTTTGTTCCTGTTTTTGTGTTTACAATGGCAGGAGGAGAACAGACTGGAGATAACAATCCTAAGGGTTTCAACAAGTGTGTCAGTCAAGAGCAACTACAAGTTGTTGTAGAGGATGCCCAAAAAAGGATAAATGAGGCCGTCAGGAAGGCCGTCACTGACGCACTCATTGAACTCAATATTGGCAACAACATGGAGAGATTGGACAAAAGAATTTCCACGCTAACCGACAAGGTTACTGAGTTGGAAACATTGGTGGCGGTCAACAACAATGACGTCTCCGATAGCAACACCGATGGTCTCTTGCAAGAAGACACGGTGCATGATGCCGCTAGAAACATGGATCGAGCAGCCTTTCGACAAGCGAGATTACGACGACGTTTTCGCCGCAACACGACAGGTATGGGTGGTGTCCACCACCACCATCAAGGTAATAATCACCATGTACCCGATGATCCTTATGCTAAGATTAAGTTCACAATACCATCTTTTTCGGGTCATTACAATGCTGAGGGATATCTTGATTGGGAGATGACAGTAGAACAAAAGTTTAGTGCCCCACCTTGTGCCTGAGCATCATAGAGTTCATCAAGCTACTAGTGAGTTTAAGGATTTTGCCATTATTTGGTGGAATGGGCTAGCTGCACTGGATGCTTTACCTAGTACATGGGAAGAACTTAAGGTAGCTATGCGTGATCATTTTGTCCCTCCTTCTTATCATAGAGACTTGCGTAAGAAATTGATGCGTTTAGAACAAGGAGATAAATCTGTACATGATTACTATGGTGAGCTCCAAAAGGGATTGATGCGCTGTAGTGTTGTGGAGGGAAACTAAAATGCCATTTGTCGTTTTTATTCAGGTTTGAGGCGTGAGATTCAGGACATTGTTGATTATAAAGAATTTAACACTGTCAACCAGTTGTTTCAGTTTGCTATGCTTGCAGAAAAGGATTACTATGGTGAGCTCCAATAATGTTGAACTATGTTTTTCATGTGAATTGAGGCATTGAACAATGTGCAATGATGATTTATTTTTTATGCTACACTTGACCTGAGGCTTTGGACTTATGCTATGATGATTTTTTATGATACTACACTTGAACTGAGGCATTGGACAAATGCAATGATGATTTTTTGTGATACTACATTTGACCTGAGGCTTTGGACATGAGCAATGATGATTATTTGTTTATGTGATTCTTTAACTGAGGCTGGAGGCATGTGCAATGATGTTTATTTGTTATTGGCTTAATTTACCTGAGGCTGCAGGCATGTGCTATGATGTTTATTTGTTACTGTCTTAATTTATCTGAGGTTGCAGGCATGTACTATGATGTTTATTTGTTACTCTCTTAATTTACCTGAGGTTAGAGACATGTGCAATGATGTTTATTTGATCTTATTACAATCTGAGTGGGGTGTGCCAACTAAACTAGGGGATGGCTGAGGAGATGAATGTTGACATGCTTGCACCTGATGAGCTTGTGTTCCCTAGGATTGGTGCTCCTACTAGGTTTGTTGTTGTTGGGGTTGGTTTGCCTGCTGGGGCTGTGATGTTATTTGTTCAACCAAGGTTGAGGATTCCCACCCAGAGCTGTATGGGGCTGTGATGTTCATGCTTGGATTCACTGATGAGGCCACCTTCTTGACAACAAGCCCCAGGGTACTGCTTTTGTGAACATGAATGCAGATCATCGTGTGCTGTGGCTGAGAACCTTCTTGGCCAAGCACTATTACAACTGAGCTACTTGCTGGTCCGTTGGTTGATCCATCTTTTGTGCAGTGCCTGCCCTCTCTTGGTGGTATTTTGTATGCATGGTTTGGTGCAGTGGCTGCTCTCTCCTAGTGGATGCATCTGGTCTTCTCTAGTGACTTCTTTTGTGCATAACTCATTCCTGCTGGGCTTGGTTGTGTAGTCGGCTTACCCATCTCTGTGCAGTTGACATGTTCCTGCATTCTTTTGTGCAGTTAACATGCTACCCTCTACTAACTATGGCTAACTGTGGCTTGTAGTTAGTGACTATATGCCACTACACCCTTGCATTCTTCTTTGGGTCAACCTACTTGATGCTAATGTGTGTATTTGCCTTGGTAGTTTGATCATGTGACCCAGCCATTCATTTGAACATCTTATTGTTAACTCTTCTAAGCATATTACCTGCATTCTTCTAAGGACATGTCTGTTGCCTGTGATGTGTTTTTCATGTAACTGATCACATGTCTGTTGCCTGTGATGTGTTTTTCATAGAACTGAGCACATGCCTCTTTGCCAATGATGCTTACACATGCCTCCTGGTGGTATTTTTGTTACTACACTTTACTTTTTCTGCAGCTATGGCATGGTATGTTGTTCATCGTAGGAAGGAACCTGGTGTGTACTCTAGCTGGGACAAAGCACATGCTCAAGTCGATGGCTTCCAAGGGTAATTGCTACAAAAAAAATCAACTCAAGAGAGAAGCTTTTCAAGCATTCTATGGCCAAGGACAACATGTGAATCCACCTCAGCTCGAACCTGCTGGACATGATCAGTTTCCTCTGCGGCACAATTCATTTGAAGTTAAAGATGTAATAATCGTAGTCCACTTTCATCCCCTCTTATCTTCTTTACTACCAATAATGATGGACTTTTGTGAATTATGACTTGTGATGATGTTCTAAATAATGGTCTTGTGTTTGTGGATGTATATATGTATATTTGTGGCGATCAGATTCGAATTTGAATTATATATATATGTGGTCAGATTTGAATTTGAATTATTATTTTTTTGCTGGAAAATCCACTATAGGGGCGGTTCTTGATTGAACCGTCCTTACAAATACACACAGCAGGGCGGCTGGTGATACAGCCGTCCTTACAGAAGTCCACTACATGGATGGCTGATATTACCAGCCACTCCTACAGAGGGCACTGTAGGGGCGGCTGAAAACACCAACCGCCCCTACAGAGGGCACTGCAGGGCGATCAGGAAACCGCTCCTACAGAGGCACCCTCTGTAGCAACACCCTGGGAAGGACGGCTGGCGCAGACACCCCTACAGAAACTCTAGAGCCGCCCCTATAGTTAACTTCTGTAGTAGTGCATTGCTTGTTTGGGTATTAACATCATTACATTTATCATATTAATTTATATTTTTTCTGCAATCTTCCTCCGGATCTACACAATTTTGGTGATAAAGATCATAAAATAGGCTTTACCTTCGTCTAAGCCACAATCCACGTGCATTGGCGTAGGCAAGGCCAAAAATAAATTTGTTACCCGTGCAACGGACGGGCATATATCTAGTAAATAGTATAAAGCTTCAAAAATGAGGATTACAAACAAACTTGGCGAAATGCTCAATCACTCCCATATTCGGTGGGGAAGACAACTTGCAGAAGCTGGTCGACATCTTGGGCTGCCAAGTCCAGCCATTCCCGATCCCTGAGCACCAAGAGACTACCAAAGGCTCACCTGTAATCCATGGTTGAAGCTGTTGCAAGGAAACTACCGCCCAGCCATGGATCACTGATGGCGCGAAGTGGCCGACTCATCTGGGTAAAATCAGTGCTTCACGCAGTGCCCATCTACGCCATGATGGCAGACAATCTACCGCCTTGGGCGCGTAAGGAGATCGATGCAATTTGCCGCAAATTCTTTTGGGCAGGGCGAGACACATCGGTCCATGGAAAATGCATGGTCGCCTGGGAGGCTGTGTGTAAACCAACAAAGCTAGGCAATCTAGGGGTAACAGATCTCAAGCTGGCTAGCTTCGCCTTACAATCAAGATGGCTATGGCTACAGAAGACGGATCAAGATCGAGCATGGAGCCAACTACCGATCAAAGTTGACCCACAAGTGCACACATTCTTCAAAGCCTCCACGATCACGATGGTCGGCAATGAAAGACGTGCCCTCTTCTAGGAAGACAACTGGATTGATGGGCAGTCGGTTCCTGAGATCACCCCCTCAAGTTGTCGCAGTTGTTCCTGCCAGAACTAAACGGCACCAAACAGTCAGGGAAGGTTTAACAAACAGCCAATGGGTTCGTGCGATCTCCGGTGGCCTCCCAATTCCAGCCATCGCCAACTACTTCGCTCTCTGGGACATCTTGGAAGCCATCGTACTTAATGACCAGCCTGATGCAACAATATGGCGATAGACACCAAGTGGATCCTACACTGCAAGATCAGCCTACGCCATGCTGCACAAGGGCGCTATACAATTCCGCGACCATTATCTGATATGGAAGACCTGGGCACCGTTACAGGTCAAGATCTTTTTATGGTTAGCGTTCCGCCGCAGGCATTGGACCGGAGATCGTTGAGCACGCCATGGCCTGGAAGCAAGGGAGCGGTGCTATCTCTGTGACCATGCGCAAGAGACGATTGACCACATCGTCGTATCCTGTCCTTACACCAGGGAGGTATGGAGTCTCATCTATCAAGCCTTTGGTCAGGTGCTCCCTCCGGCAACCCAATCCATAATCAAATGGTGGCGGCGAGTTCGCGCGTACTGGAATGGCTCTCAGCGCTCGGGTATCAACTGACTCTTTGTGATGATATCCTGGGAAGTATGGAAGTAAAGAAATGCGCGCTGCTTCAGAGATGCCGTTGTTACACCAGCTGACCTCCTCTTAATCATCAGAGCAGAGGCAGAACGTTGGGCTCAAGCTAGAGCGACAGGTTTGTCCAGCTTGGCAGCAATGAACGCTGGATAGCAATGCGTCCACGTAGCATTGCAGTTTGTTCCTAAGCATCATGTAATCCATTACCCCCTTTTTGGCCGGGCCGGCTTTGGCCTCTCGTAACACAAACTGCTTCTTCCTTCTTAATGTAAATGATACGCAATGCTCTTGCGTATTCGAGGAAAAAAAAACTCCAAAAATGACAAAATAAATTTCTATGAACTATTCACGGGCAGATCTGTACATTAAAAATAAGAAGTTCCAGTGAAATGACAACTTTGCCCCTTGTATGAAATAAACAAAGTTAACCCTAGTTAATTTATTTATGTACTTAAAGACCACTAAAAATCATGGTAAAATCACAGTATGTGTACCACATCAAAATAAGACTATTCTAAAATTATTAGACCAAAATAATAACATCTTTTAGTGTAGACCGGTAGAGGAAAATACATAACCATCCATGGTGAATGGTGATCTGCTTATCTCAGGCTTGCCACGCATGCCACTCTACTGCGCTATTGTCAACCTTATTGTGATCACATTTGTTTCCATTTGTGACCTGCTCACATTTTTGCAGGTTTAGATGACCTTTATGCCGTAGTAGTATTTAAGAGCATGGTCTACAACCAATGTTTTCTTAAACGGTAAACGGTCTTTACACGATCGCCCTTCGTTTAGCGTTTAGGCTATTTACACGGTATTTAAACGAAGTTAAACGGTCTAAACGATTTTGTACTTTAAAAAAATACATATAATTATATATGTGCATGTAAAAAATCAAGTATTCTAGCATTCATACATATTTATCCGAGTAAAAATCAATTATTTTGGTATGTATATATATTTATGCATGTGAAAAGAACCAAATATAGATATTTATGCATGTAACATATCAAGTGTACACATTTATAAATATAATAAACTTAAGTATACAAATTTATCCATACAAAACTGAACTAGATTTACCTCGTGTTCGCCTAAACAGCCGTAGCCCGTTTAATATTGTTTATCTCCATTCCGTTTAGGCCATTTAAACCGTTTTCCCGTTTTTTTACCGTTTAAACGGTCAACCGTTTAATTTCCGTTTATCCCCTAAACAAAATAGTTTACCACCGTTTACCGTTTACTGGCCGTTTAAACGGCCGTTTAATCCATTTAGGCGAACACTGTCTACAACCTAAATTTATAGTTCAAATAGAATGCAAAAGAGGAGTTAATAAATGATACAATAAGCACAAGTGTTTAATCTTTATTCAGCATAAAAATTAGCATCTAATAAGATTAAAAATTGAAAATAAAATATCAATATTCATGACACCATGAGACATGGGTTACAACATGAGCCGCTATAATTTAAGCTAAGATTTAAACGAAATGCATGCCTAAGATACATGTAAGTGCCAACTAAGAGAAAAAAAACTATAGATATAGATGAAAACACTTATAGATCAACCATTGATACTATAATGTAAGTGTTTTTTATTAGTCGTAGATATTCCCTCCGTTCTTTTTTAAATGTCATATTAACTTTATCCTAAGTCAAACATTACTTTCTTTGACCATTTATTTCAAAAAAAAAACTCACAATATATGAATTCTATATTATGAAAGTATTTTTATGGTGAATCTAAAAATATAATTTTATGTCATTAATCTATATAATTTTTTGAAATAGATGATCAAAGATACAAATGTTTGACTTAGAACAAAACTAATACGACATATAACTAAAAACTAAAAACGGAGGGAGTATTAAACATGAACATCTAAACGCTTATGTCTTGTATGTAAGATTTTAGATTGTGCTTATGCACGGGTTGATGGACTAGTAGGTCCTAAGTTGATACAAGTTCTACTCCCTCCATTCAAAAAATATAAGTTATCTTCACTTTATTAGATAGAAATTTTTTACTATGTATTTTAATATAGGATGTGTCTAGATGTATAATAAAAAGTATGTGTTAATAATTTGGAAGTAATTAGCCAAAGTTTTGCAATGGAAACAACATGTGACCAGGATATTCAGTTCATTATTGGGAAAACAAAGGGAAATATTACAAGCATCCATGATGGCCGCCAGCACACAAGTACAAAACACTTTCGTGTTGATCGCACATTGCGCCGCGCGCACGTCCGAGGACCAACCTAAGGCTACCAACCTTTTATTGCCACGATTCTGATGGATAAAGTGAAACGGGGAACAGGAATCACCGCTACTTCCTGCTTTCATGACAGTCATTCCCTGTCCTCAGGCAGGTCAGGACTCAGATCAGATGGAAATGCTGTTGGGGATGCCCTTGGCGGTGACGCCGGCGTTGTCGCCCTTGCTGTCGGAGGTGTTGGGGAAGAGCAGCGTGTACGGGAACTGGGCCGCGCCGTAGCGGTTCTTGTAGCGTGGGTCCTTGTTCAAGGCCTCCACGCGTTTCTCGATCTCGCACAGCCGCGCCCCGAACCGCTTGAACGCCTCCTGCGCCTTGGCGTCCGACGTCCACTCCTTGTGTCTGTAAGAGACAAGAATGGGAGAGAACGCTCAATCGTATTCCATGACAGTGTATGAGTACATATACAAGTGCCAGAGCACTCGTGGCCGTAGGCTACTAACTGCTAACCTGAAGACTCGGATCAGCTGAAGAATCGGTCCCAAACGTGACCATGACCCTATACAACAAACTAACCAGCTGATCCTTATCTATCTATAGTATGTGGAGGAATAGGTCGTTGACACCCCCCTCAGTTGAAGCATCGGTCGTCCGTATGCATAAACTGTCTCTGAATTCGTTGAACAAAGTTGTAGGTAGCCCTTTTGTCATAATGTCTGCAAACTGGTGCTGAGTCGGGATGTGCAGAACTTTGAACTGGCCAAGGGCAACCTTCTCTCGCACAAAATGGATGTCAAGCTCCACATACTTCGTTCGTCGATGGTGCACTGGGTTTTCAGACAGGTAAACCGCGGAGACATTGTCACAGTAGATTACCGTGGCCTTGTCGATGCTCACATGAAGTTCGTGAAGCAGATTCCCTGAGCCAACAGCACTCTGCGGCAGCGTTGGCCATAGCTCGGTACTCGGCCTCTGCGCTAGACCGGGATACCGTCGTTTGGCGCTTCGACAACCATAACACCAGAGAGTTCCCGAGGAAGACGCAGTAGCCCGAGGTCGAGCGTCGAGTGTCCGGGCATCCAGCCCAGTCAGCGTCGGAGTACACCTTGAGCTCAGTCGACGGTGTCGCGGAGATCCTGATGCCGTGGTGAATTGTGCCGCGGAGATAGCGTAGGATACGCTTGACGAGGTTCCAGTGCACATCATGTGGAGCCTGCATGTGTAAGCATGCCTGGTTCACTGCATACGCAATGTCCGGTCGCGTTAGTGTGAGATACTGTAGCGCGCCGGTGATGCTGCGGTAGAAGGAGCCGTCCTCCGCAGGTTTTCCATCTGCTGCTGACAGCTTCGGCTTGGCCTCCACTGGAGTGGAGGCTGGCTTGCAGTTGGCCATCCCCGCTCGCTCGAGGATGTCCTCTGTGTACTGAGCTTGGTTGAGGAGGAAGCCGTCATCATCACGACGCACCTGAACACCGAGGAAGAAGTGCAGGGCGCCAAGGTCCTTGATGGCAAAGGCCTGGCGCAGTTTGTTGATGACGTCGTGCAGCAAGGATGGTGTCTATGCAGTGGGGATAATGTCATCAACGTAGACAAGAAGGTATGCCGTTTGAGCGCCATGACTGTAGACGAACAGGGAGCTGTCGGAGCCTGTGGCAGTGAAGCCCATGCCACGAAGGTGAGTGCTGAGTCGCTGAAACCACGCCCTGGGTGCCTACTTGAGTCCATAGAGGGACTTGATCAGCAGGCAGACATGATCGGGCCGGGATGAGTCGATGAAGCCGGCGGGTTGGTGACAGTAGACGCGCTCAGCGAGATCGCCGTGCAAGAAGGCGTTCTTGACATCCAGTTGATTGACAGGCCATCGGCGTGTCGCTGCAAGGTGAAGCACCGTCCGGATGGTTGCTGGTTTAACCACCGGCGATAACGTCTGGTGGAAGTCCAGGCTAGGGCGTTAAGAGAATCCACGCACAACCCACCGTGCCTTGCGTCGCTCCAGTGTGTCGTCAGGGTTGAGCTTGTTCTTGAAAAGCCACTTCCCACTGATGACATTCGCATTTGGTGGCCGGGGCACAAGTGTCCAGGTACCGTTCGCCTGAAGTGCGTCCAACTCCGCCTGCATGGCTGCGAGCCACTCC